GTTCTCTTTTCTCGAGAACTTTCTTTCATAATGGCATAGTATTTTAGCTCAACTAGAAAAAAAAAGCCCTTACTTGACACATTAAATGTTTATATCGTGTTGTCTTCGAGGGGTAAAATCTTGAAATTAAAGAGAAAAAAAAGAGAGAGGTTAAAGACAAAGGTTGAGAATGGTCTTAGCTTTTATACTTCGACGCTCAAGCTATAAATCGAGTAAGAAAGGTAATAGGAAGGAAAATATAATGACAATAAAGCAAGATAAAGTAAGATGGTGAAATGGTACTTAAATGGTCTTACTTATACTTGTAAGGAGTGGGGACATGGGCAACCTAGGTTACCTGAGGTTAGCCATAGGATTGAGGATGACCTAATAGATCGAGTTGACCTGGACGTTGACCATCCACTTTGGAAATGGCAAATTAGCATTTAAGAGGGCCTACTAGGTAAACTAGTGAGGTAACCGAGCCGAATGACCTTGTGAAATCAGGTCAACCTGAAATGTCAACTCAACCCAAAAGTTAAAAATGCCCATGCCTATTTGTCGACAATTTCTAATACAAAAAAAAAAAAATTTACCCTTCAGACCTAAAAATGCCTTTAACAAAAATTTTTTTTTTTTCATTTTTGGATAAAAAACTTATTGTCTTCTAAAAATGTGAAGTAAATTTTTCATATAGTTTTCTCTTTAATTTCCATTGGAATCTTAAAGTAAAATGCATTGCTTCTATACATTTGCTATGGTAAGGCCATGTTCTGCATTTGTATGTTTCCATTTAATGCGATATTTTGTTCATTAATGAGTGCGTTTGTTAGCTTCAGTTATGACTTTTATGCCACTCTTTGATAGATTTGACAATTTATATATTCGTATTGTATAAAATATTAAAATTTATATATTTATATTTTATACGAAAATTATATGTCACAATTCATATCGATACAAAAACATAAAATATATTTTCTTGATTTTGTTAAACCCATATATTATTGTTGGTAAAATTTTAAATCATATCACCTTTATATATATATATATATATATTTTGTATCGTATTATTGTATCATGTTTTAATATGTTAGATAACTCTCGAGTTTGTTCATAGTTTTGATCATGGCTTCTTTACTCTTGGGTCATACTTTCACTCATTCATTTGATTTCGTTGGAACTCTATATTTTGAGTTTTAAAGAAATGAAGTGGAGCAAAATCTAAGAACAAAAAGAGATGAGAGAAAAAAGGCTAAATAAAAAAGAATGCTTTAATTTCATCACTAGATCTAATTTCGATTTGATGCTTGAAAAAATGGAAAATCAAAATTATTAATATTGAACAAAATTTTGATTTTCTTAAAAATGGTATATACTTTAATTGTTTCCATATTTATTCAAGATTTTCGGTGTAGTATAAAAATACTACGTGAATCTATATATATAATATCACTACTTGTAAAATAAAAAAAAAATTACATCATTTAACCATCCAAATACCTTTAAACACCACTTAAATAAGTTTAACATATAACATATAAACACCAAGTTACATCAAACAAAGGTATCAAATTAAACTAGGATTTAACATAAATGATTAAGCTTTACTTGATAGGAAGGATGAAAAAAAAAGTGGAAGTAAAGATTTATTAATTTAATAGTTAAACTCTAGTGTAAGAAAATGATTATAAATTTTAACTATTAAATTAATAAATTTTTCATCATCATCCTTTTCCATCAGCTTTACCTAACAAAGTAAAGAAAATCACATTTTATCATATATTGTTTTACAAAAAAAAAATAAAAAAAATGAAAATGAAAATGAAAATAAACAAATTAACCATTTTTTGGATTTAAATATATCTCACCTATATATAAATAAGGATTCGTTTACTTTTGTGTAATTCTTACACTTTTTTTTTTTTTTTACTTTTGGATCAAAATTAAATTTATGATTCATTTGAATCAAAATAATATTTTTAAATTTAATAATTTTAATCTAAAGGTAAAAAAAAAAAGTTATACTAGTGTAAATGAATCCTTCCTTTATATGTATATAAATATATGACTAAGGTTTCATTTACACCCGTGTAAAGCTTTGTTTGGTATAAGGATGAAAAGGGATGACGATGAAAATTTTACTAATCTAATAATTAAGTCACAAAGTAGGAAAGTGATAATGAATCTTAATCATTAGATTAACAAATTTTTTATTTTTTTTCATTTCCATCATAACAATCAAAACCTAAGTTTTGCACCCTTTTTTATCCTTGAATCAAAATTAGTTCATAACACTTGGTCATTTTGATCCAAGGATCACAAAAGAATGTAACACTTACATTGATGTAAGTAAATCCTTCCTCTTTAAGAGTAACGATCCACTTACACCAGTATAAGTTTTATACTCTCTTGACCCTCAAATCCACTTACCTCAAAAATATTTTTAGTCTTAACCATTTTAATTCAAAGATTAGAAAAGAGTATAAAACTTATACTAGTATAAATAGATACCTCTTTATATTTAAATATTAAAGAAAGGAACTTTAAAAAAAAAAAAAAAAAAAACCTCATTATTTTGTCTAACAATTGAAACACCATTTTTTGTAAAAAAAAATCCAAAATTAGTCGAAACACCTAATATCGACCAATATAGCACCATACCAAGGATAGTATGAAATTATTGACCAATTATATTGAATTTTTTTAAAATTGGTGCTTACTAACTAGCACCAGTGTCATGATTCTAAAAAAGAGTCATAAATCTCACATTGACTATGTATTAAAGTTGATCATGACATATAAGTATTCACACCATCTTTAACTTGTGAAACATTATTTGTAAGACAAAACTGTGAGATCCATTGGGGTTAAAGTAGACAATACTTTATAAGTCGATGTGAACCATGACATTTGATATTAAAGATAGTTTTAAAGGTTCTAGTAATGTGACACTAAAGATAGTAAGCTCTCATTGGAGTTGGAAAAGATATCAAGTGATGTGTCATTAAAGACAGTATGCCCTTATTGGAGTGAAAAAAGATATCATGATATGACACTAAAAACAATAAGCCCTTATTGGAATGGAAATAGATATCATGATCATAGAGAATAGTCATGAATAGCCCTTGTTCAAGTGAGGAAAGCTAGCTCTAAAGGTACTAACGATGTACCATCGAAGACAATAGGCACTCATTAAAGTCGAGAAATATCATGATCGTAGAGAAAAGTCATGAATAACCCTGTTGGAGAAAGATATCATGATCGTAAAAATGCAAGCGATGTGCCATCGAAGACAAAAGGTCCTCATTGAAGTGGGGAAATATATCATGATCGTAGAGAAAAGTCATGAATGGCCCCATTGGAAAAAGATACCATGATCGTAGAGATGAGTTATGAATGGCCCTTATTGGAAAAGGGAAAGATATCATGATCGTAGAAAAGAATCATGAATCTTACATTGACTGCGTACTAAAATTGGTTGTGAAATATAAATGTTCATATCACCTTTAACTTGTGTACTAAAATTGGTCATGAGATATAAATATTTATATCACCTTCAACCTGTGATACGTTTTTTGTTGGACAAAACTATTAAGTCCAGTGAAGTAACTAAAACAATTAAAAAAAGAAAACCTTACGAGTTGGTATGGACTATGACAATCAACGTGTACAAAATTCATAACCTTGTGTAAAACTCATTAACCTTACATGGAATTTAACATGATAACATTTATTCAATTAACAATAAAGTTAAAACATATTTTGATCCCGTTATATGAAACTTAACAATCATTATACATCAACAAATATGACCAGCTTATGGATCAGATTCTCACACATACCAAATAAGATCACTGGCTAAGTAAACAGTCAAACATGAACAATGTCCAGTAGAGTCTTCCAGATGAGAACATGACTACTCATGTTCAATGCATTGACCATCACTTGCTACTATGGATTTAAATAATGTTGGCTATATGATATAACGGTTGCTATGTAGCATTAACACCATCTTCCACTATCGTTATTCACCATAATAGAGGTGTTAATCATCATTCACACAAAAAACGGTATATCACGTCCACAAATAGTGATATAACAAAAAATTGTGGTCATAACAGAACACCTTATTTGTACTTTAATGTATCTATGAATTTTATAACATATTAATTCTAAGTTATAACTAAAATATGTAAAAAAAAATTGTTTTAGCCTATAAATAAAAGATTAAAAGATCATAAATTATTTTAAATATCATAAATATTATTATATCAAACTATTCTTTTGCTTCATTATGAAAATTTTAAAATAATTCACAAATGCAATGAACACGACTACTGTTATTTTATCTAATTATGTTTGCAACTGTGATAAAACGTGATGTGACCAGAAATGCAACTACAACCCAATTTTAAATCCCTACTGGCTACTACTCATGTTCTATGCATTGACCATCACTTGCTAAGTTAATGTCTAAAATAAAACATGTAATGTTGCAAAAGTCACATCTAACAGCTGTGAGCCATTGCAAAACAAAAATAATAGCTGATGATGTTGGCCAAAAATTAAAAAAATAAAATAAAAGCTAATAATGTTAGTTTTCACCTCTACAGTCTTACCTTATAGTGATTTATATCTAGACAGTCTCATTTTTTATAAATTTAGGAAGGGCCATGTATCCAGTCCTTCGGCAATGAAGATTTAAATATTCTAAGCATCAGCGATCCATCTCTCCTACCAAGCTTTTTTATTCCATAGCCCCTACAGACACCAAGTTTAAGAGCTTCTTGTCCTCCTTCCACAACTGTTTTTCTAACAGCAATCAGTAAACCTGACCCTTGAGGAACAATGTTATCCTCTAATTTTTCATTGTCATCAGGTTTCTATACTTTGATTCTTGTGTTCTCCCTCATTTTCAGCTCCTTCCACATCAATATCTTCAAGACCATCAGACTTCTACTACCCCACCATTTATCAGTAGTGATTGATAAGCCATACATAAAATTCATCTGACATTGTCATTCCTGTCATTAAGCTTATTTGGCCAAAATTCAGGGCCTGCCCAGTTTGTATGTTTTTTGTTCCTTTTTGTTGCAAGTTGTGTAGCGCTGAGACAACTTGTAATTTGGGTAGTTCATTGTTTTGGGGGTTGAGAGCTGCTGCGTGCAGAAACATGAAATTGAAAACTTATTAAAACAAGAATGAGGAATATCTGGTAAGAAAGTATCATATGTGTAGACACCCAATTAGGTCCTGACCTAGATCAATTACGCCTGACCCAAATGGGTAAGCCCAATGTAATTTTTACTTTGTATTATTATTTTTTTCTTCTCTTTTCTTTTCTTTTCTTTTGTATTTTATGTATTTTATTATTTATTATTATTATATGTATATTTTTACTTATTTACTTATTTATTTATTTTTTTTCTATTAATATTTATATGTATTTTATTTAAATAGTTCTATATTTATTATATATTATTATTTTTTTATTATTTTTTTTTATTATTATTTTTTCTTGTAATATTTTTTTATTTATCTTATTGTATTATCTGTTAATAATTTTTTTTTCTCTCTTGTTCCGTTTATTTGATTTTTTGTATATCTGATATTATTTTTTTTTATTATTTATCCTATCTTTTCTAATTATCTATTATTTTTTTTTTACGGCTGGGATTGAAAGTTGAAGAATCTCACTGTGAAGGGAAAATCAATCAAGAGAGTCCAAGTTGGATTCAAAGATTGAATCCCCGTCCAAGGAGGAATTGAGATTGATCAGGAACTCCTGATCAATCCCTATAAAAATGACCTCCTAGAACAGATTGCTAAACACACAGAAAACAGTAAGCAAAAGCTACTGATTGACAGAATAGGGACGTATAGAGAGCTAAGAAAAGGTTTAGGAGTGTTCTGGGAATGAGAAGAAATTTTTTGAGAATTTTTGGCGATTTTTTTTTTTGGAAATTTCTGGAAATTCGAGATTCCGATGAATTTTTCGACGAAGTTTGAATTTTTCGACGAAAATTCTGACCAAACATGAAGTTTTCGACGACCTGCCCAGTTTCTGGTGAAAAATCCCAGAAACCGGTGATCTTCCGACCAACTTCCGACGACCTTCCGATGAAATTTTCTAGATTTCGACCACATTTTCCAGAATTCGACGGATAATTAATCGAAGTTCTTCAGCTTTTAGAGAGAAGGGAGAGAAAAAAGGAAGGAAAGAGAGAGAGGGGAGGAGCGTTCTGTCGAAAAATAGAGGAAAGTACCTTTTATACCATTTCAAAACGACGTCGTTTTGGCTTTAAGTAACCCAGAGGATCCGCGCATTTTGCCGAGATCCGACCCGACCCGAGTGTCGACCCGCTTCCTGACCCGCGCGTGTGTCTACCCCCTCCAAGCCGAGTCGAGCCGAGCTCCAAGCTGCACCCCTGAGCCGTTCCTCTTCCTTGAGCCGAGCCGAGCCGATAGCCGAGCCGCTCTAGTTTTTTTTTTTTTCAGAATTTTTTATTTATTTATTTTTTTATTAGATTAGATTTATTTAATATTTTTTATCTTTATCTTATTTTTATTTTTGTTTTACTTTTCTTTATTTTTTTTTATCTTTATTTATTTTCACTTTTATTTTGTTCTATTTTCTTTAAATAAAAATCAAAAAAATATTTTTAGGAAAAAGTTGAAAGTATCAATTTTTCTTAAAAATAAATTTTCAAAAAAAGGATTTTTTGAGAAAAAGTTGAAAGTATCAATTTTCCTTAAAAATAAAATTTCAAAAACAGGGTTTTTGAGGAAAAGTTGAAAGTATCAATTTTCCTTAAAAATAAATTTCTAAAAAATATTTTTAGGGAAAAGTTGAAAGTATCAATTTTTCCTACACAAGAACAATCATCATTTCCTTCCTTTCTATTTTGATTTTGATTTTTCTTTAATTAATCCGACGACGGAGCCTCTGTAAGTGAAACAATAGTTTTTCTTGCATACTCTTGAGGTGAGAGAATTTTTTCAATTTTCTGCTAAAAGTATTAGAGTCAATTGAGGATAATTTTTAACAATTAATTATTTGGTAAAATTTTAAGGCTTTTTGGATAACACGAATTTAAGCTGTACCATCTTTTGATGGGCGTTGTGAGGGTGCTATAACCTTCCTCACACGTAACCGAACTTTCGAACCCTGTTCTGGTTAGTAGACCTGAACCTATTCTTTTAGGGACCCTTAATTTTAGGTGTTCCCTGAAGGGATAGATTCCTTAGGTGACCAATCGCACCTAGATAAAAAAGATTGGTGACGACTCCCTTAAGTCAATATCTAGCGATAGATCCCCGGATCTAGACGTTATGACAGCTTGACGACTCCACTGGGGAAGTCCGAGAGTCAAGCCAGCAAATAAATTTGTGTTATCCAAAAGCCTAATAAAATTGAACATTTTTGTATATATGTGTTATTATTCATTCATGTTTGTTTACCTTGTTAATTATGTCATTCATATACATGTGCATAACATGAGCTCTACACCCGAGCTCCGTCCCTCTAGGAGGAAGTAAAGTACATATTACTTTCATGAGGTCTAATGCCTCCGCAGTGGCTAGCGAAATACTCCTACTCAAATTGAACCTTTTTCGCTTATAGCCTGTAATGGGTGAAGATTAGGGTGCCTTACTAGTCTATGATGGACAAGGATTTAAGGAGCAATTTAGGAACCTTTAGACTCTGACCTTAAAACCGCATGTAGTGAACCTTAAGAGTGCCTACACCTAAGATAAAGCCTTTTCTACCCAATGATAGATATACCCTAAAATTATGACACAAAAAAGGGTATGTCTAATCATTTTGATTGTTTAACTTTGTGTATTATTTTTATCATATGTAACATTATGCATCAGCATCACTTTCATTTCATCCATGGAACTAACTATGTTGTTCGTCTGATTGTATCATGTTTTAACACAATCATTTGCATTCATTTCATACTAGATTTCATTCAAAAAAATGTACATTTCATTTGTGTATCAAAGTATCATACATAAGGCACAGCATAGCATTTCTAATCATAAGTATGGTACTCAAGGTCCGAGGATAGCTCCATCTAGCAAAAACCCTGCTCATCCATACAACACAAGATCCAGAGCAAGGTAAATGGAGGAGAAAAGTTCTCATAGATTTGAAAAGCTAGAAAAAGCTCAGGAGAAGATTGAAAGTGAACTAAGCAAGATTCTGGAGGCTCTTAATAACATGAATAAAAGAAAATGAGTTGCAGAAAATACAAGCCAGCAAGTTCCCCCATTACAAGAAATGGCTGATCCTTTGTACCCTCTAGGTTTTGGCCCACCTCAAACTCAGTCTGCTCAAGAAGTCCCGTCACAACACTTTACATATCCAACATATCCTGGAATGCCATCAGCTTTCAACCTAGGGCAGTATAATAGCTATATAAATCTTATCTTCACTGAAAAGGCAGCAGAACCAATTCCTGACCTAGATGACTTAAAGGAGAAGAAAAAAGAAAAGATAAGAATGGAAGTTCAGGAAAGCTTCAAAATTAGCATGCTAGAGTAGAGGCTACGGGCTGTGGAAGGATTTAGCTTTTATGGGTCAGTTGATGCTGCTGGGCTCTGCCTAGTTCCTGATGTGATTATCCCTCATAAGTTTAAAGTACCAAAATTTGAAAAATATGATGGTACAAAGTGTCCCAAAACCCACATCACCATGTATTACAGTAAGATGGCAGCTCATGCTCATGATGAAAAACTCTTGATGCATGTTTTCTAAGATAACCTTACTGACTCTGCGGCCAGGTGGTATGTTCAGTTGGATAGGACCCACATTCGCTCTTGAAGAGATATGGCTCATGACTTCATCAGTCAATAGCGGTACATTATCGATTTAGCTCCTGATCGTTTATCTTTATAGAATCTAGAGAAAAAGGCAAACGAGTCTTTTAAAGAGTATGCCCAGAGATAAAGAGATATAGCTTCACAGGTACAACCTCCACTGACGAAAAAAAAAAACCACAGTGCTGTTTGTTAGCACTTTAAAACCTCCCTATTATGAAAAGATGATAGGGAATGCAACAAAGAATTTTGTTGACATGGTAATCTCTGGAGAAATTATTGAAAGTGCCATAAAAAATGACAAGTTGAGAGGAGGAGAAACCAAGAAGACATCAGAAAAGAAAGAAACTGAAGCTCAAGCTGTGAGCTTTGATAGAGAACAATTTAGGGGGTTATCAACCCTATCCATCCCAAGGTTACTCTCCATACTATCCTGCTGTGAATAATGCCTCATCCTACCCATACCAGCTAGCTCCACAACCACCTTATTTTAGCCCCCAAGATCTTACATATAGCTTTAACATTCAAGCTCCTGTAAGAACCCAAATTCGCCCTACTAACCCAGCAAGTGGCTCACGAGAACAACGGACTACTCGAAAAAAACCTGTATTCGATCCAATCCCTATGACTTATACAGACTTATATCGAGAACTCTATAATAGTCATTTGATTACCCCCAACCATGTGGAGCCGTTTAAGCCACCTTATCCAAAGTGGTATGATCCTATAGCCCACTGCGACTACCACTATGAAATTACTGGCCATTCTACTAAAAATTACACTGTTTTAAAGTATAAGGTGCAACGGTTGATCAATGATGGAATGGTAAATTTTGATCAGGAAAAAGCAACAGCACCTAATGTTAGTGTACTGAGCGAAAGTCAAGAACAGAAAAGATCCGGAGAGTCACAATGAATTGAGGGGCAATATGTCAATAGAGATTCTTCACCTGATCATACAGGGGGATAATTTTTAAGAATGGAGATAAGGCTGGTTGAAAGTTTTTTTTGTCATTCTAAGATTTCTTTTCAAGTAATGTTAGGATTTTTTTTCTGCAATTTCACTTCACTTATTATCATCTTAATAAAGGCAAGTTAATGCATTTCATTACATTTTTCTCTTTCACTTGACCATTACTCTATGCTCTGTTACCTTTCATACTCTCATTCTCAAATTTCGGATGATGAATATTTAAACAATGATAACAGTAATTCTAAGATTTAATTTTGAGAACTCATCCACATTAATATGAAAAGATGATTTAAGTAAAAAATAAACTGTTACTGGAGGTGAGAGAGATATGTCTTCAAGATACGTAATCTTTTATACA